ACAGTACAACATGCTGCCGCTGTATGATGTTAAGTGTCACTCTTATTCAAAGCTCTAAATAGCTCGTTTTAGTACTAATGGACATGTTTAAGCATGATATGCAAAGAGATAATTCTACGGTAAGCCACATGACAGTTTGGAAACGACCCTCTGCTCAGTAAAAGAGGTCATAAAACGTCGGCGGACAAATAAAATTGGCTTTCCATGCGCCACTTTGATAACATTTTCATGGGGTCATCAAACAGACATTGCAAAAATGCAGTTCCAAGTGTTGTTTTTGTACTTTGTGGCAAAATGGTGTTCTTTTGCGATTCATAAATCCTAACTAATATTATTTATAATTGGAAATGTGAATTTGTTTGTTTGCTACGATTTCACGCTTTAACCTCTCAACCGATCATCATGAAATTTTCTGCGCACATTATCAGGTGTACAGCAAAAGACATAGGGTACCTTTTGTTAGATTCATGTGATCGTCGATGATCCTTGACAAGTATTTAGGACATCAACGCGAGATAAGCCATGGGTAAAACCTATAGGGTACCGTTTATCCAGAAGAAATGCTGTTCTCGAGGGTTAGGACGATTGATAATCTTTGACATGTATTTAGGAACAACGCGGGGGAATCCGGGGGTAAAACCTACAGTTACGCAATTAAGAACATTGTATCGCCATCTACTTGGTATTTACCTCTACTAAAGCATTTTAACTGGTGATTTATTAAAACTACTTACGGTCTATTAGAAAATGGGACTAAATCGCAATCTAGATCTGGTAGTATGTCTGACCATAAGGTTGACGTTACCTTTACAATCCTTTTTATGTAGAACTTAATGGGAAATACATATAATTAGATAATAGCAATTGCCTGTCCTTCTGCCAATTAGTTTGTTTGTTTTCTATCTGAAGCATCGTAGTCTCAGAACGAATGTACAACCCGACTTTGATGAAGTTTGCTTTGCTTAAAGTTATATATAATTATTGAGAAAATTGCTTAGAAATATTTAATTGGAATTGGTTAGACCGTCTTTTACATTCAATCACAGTTTCGAAGAGACATTTCAGCCACTGTAATTACGTCTCGTTTACCTTCCATGATTAAAATCGTTTCTATAGTAGGTAAATGTTCTGCTACCCAGTTACATTAACCATCATGGTCCAATTTTCCACCCCACGTCTTTGTAATTAACATCAATTTATGAACTTTATAGCAAATATGCAGTTGTCCTGCTGTACTTTGCAGCTAAGTAATTAAGTAATTTCGAGTAGGTAAGCTTAAAGGTCACGTTGACGAGTTTTCAGCTTCCTGAGAAAAGTCTAAGAGGTAAATCTTGTTAAGATTTTCACGAGTGGGAAATAGGCGACGCCGCACGTCATCAGGCACGCTTTTAAAGCTTTTACTATAACTAGAGCGTTGTAGTTCTCGTTTTGTTTATTGATTTGGTAGCGGGTTACGTTCCTAAAGGACAATTTGGCACTAGTCGAGATAGATTTACTGGAAATTCGTTCAAACGTCTGCTACGTGACATTCCTTGCAAGAATCCTTCATGACACCAAGAGGCACTGCTGAACTAAGCAGAAAAGCGCTTTTGTTTATTTTAGTTGACACCTAATATCAAAGCATAAAGAATGGTGAACGTTAAGGCTGAATAAAGAAAGAAAATGTATACAACGTAGAGAAGTTAATATTTGGAAGGGAGTCAGACAGGGATGTACACTGTCACCGCTAGTTTTTAATCTATACATCGAAGACGCAATCAGCATCATTAAAGACAGTACGACTGTATGGGGTAGACATACAGAGGCAAAAGATTAATAAGCTTAGATTTGCAGATGATACAGCAGTATTAGCATCTAGCAAGGAGGAGTTAGAGATAGCTTTAAATAAAATGGGGACGGCATTGACAAAACAGTATTGTATGAAAATAAATAAAAGTTAAACAAAAATACTGATATGCAAGAGAAGAACAAGTAGGGAAAGAGCGAATACAAAAATAGGAGACGAAAAATTAGAAGAAGAAGTCAGGACGGAAGGAGAAGTAGGGATATAATGCATAAGATATCGCAGGGTCGTCTCCTTCAATAAAAAATAATAAATAAAAAGAAGTCACTTCTATGCTCTGGAACGGTTAATTTAGAAATTTGAAAAAGATTGTTAAAGGTGTAAATTTGAAGCGAAGCGCTGTACGGGTGCGAAACATGGACGGTAGGCACTGGGCAAAAGAAAAGGTTAGAAGCGTTCGAAATGTGGTGTTTCAGGCAAATGATGAGGATACCGTGGATAGAGAAGGTTGGAAATGAAGAGATATTAGAAAGAATAGGAGAACAAAGGACTTTATGGAAGTCGATAAGAAATAGGCGAGATAGGTTAATAGAACCCCTTCTCAGGCATGAAGATTTAGTCAGAGATATATTAGATGCAGAAACGGTAGTTAAGAGGGATAGAGGTAGACCAAGATTAGATTACTGTTCGCAAACAGTTTAGGATGTGGGTTGTTCTAGTTTTAGGGAAATTCAAAGTTTAACTCAGGATAAAAAAGAGTGGAGGTACGTGTCCAACCAGTCTTAGAACTGACGACCTTATAATGATGATGATACAAGATGTCCAGAAAAATGGTGATTCCTGTATGATTTGTTCGTTTTTTTATATTTGATTAAATTCGTCACAGTATACAGTCATCTACTAAACAATTTCGGTTTGGCATGCCGTGCTAATAAGAACCAATAAATTCGAAATGTGAATTACTTTTTAATTTTTTTTATCCAAAAGGATAAATGTAGTATATATTTGCTTTAATGTTCGGTTTAAAAAAATAATCGAGTTAAATTTCATTACAGAAAAGGAAAAAACATGACGGCTGCTTCAGAGCAACAGGCCAATAAGCGGCTAAATTTAGAAAAGGCTGCAAACTTTATGAGACAGTATCGTGATCCAGACTCAAAGGAGTTGAAAAAACTTTCAGCTAATCAGTTCATGGAGGTGTGGAGCCACTACGACAAAGACGGTATGTTCTCTTTCAACTAATCATAAGATTAGCTAAATAACTGCGAAAATTCAAATAAAATGTGAAAATATACAAATGAATGTTTACCTTACGGTAGCGTTCGGTGTACATATATAACGTTCTTTATTATTTTTAGAAAACACACAAACAAATGAAGTTTAACTTATATCTACACGTAGATAAACCAAAAGCTTCTTGATGTTCATTAGAACAAATAGACGACAGATTAATTGTACTTCAAACATGCAAATTTACCATGATTTTAAAAATAGATTGATTAGATTATCGGTTCATTACACGTCAAGGCTACTAACTGTAGTAAAACTTTGCCTTCTGCTTATTAACTAAAACATTCATTTAAAATACCTGAATATTATTGTAAATCGCTTAGGTATTCCAGATAGAAAAAGGAAATGTTCATTTAGAAAGTAAAATTTCCGTAAGATATCAATGGTCAGAGTTGGGAATCATATCTCGCAAAAACAATAAGGTTTCAAACCCATAGCAAATAGCCCATTGATTCGGAGTTTCATAAAACCATTTCACATCTGTAAACTCCAAAACAGTGGAAACGTCGGAAAAATCCCAGAAAGCATTTAAACAATACAGGAAAACGCGGAACTGTACATTTCAGATAACAAGCAAGCAGTAGTTGGAAAGTTGTTTCAAAACCCTCAATATGGATGAAAATTTAGAACTTAGTTTGTACTCATTTTCACTGCGAAAGTTTAAATAAAGCAATGCTATCCATAATATATCTAAATTTTATGTTACAAAGGATAAAAATGAGTAAAATTTATTGCTATTNTTTTATTTTATATTTTTGTAAAGAATCGGGTTTACTATTCTGTCTCTTCATTGTGTCCTATTGTCTTCATCATTATCATAAGGTCGTCAGTCTTAAGACTGGTTGGACACGTACCTCCACTCTTTCCTATCCTGAGCTAAACTTCGCATTTCCCTAAAACTAGAACAACACACATCGTGAACTAGTTGTGAACAGTAATCTAATCTAGGTCTACCTCTACCCCTCCTAACTCCTGCTTCTGCCTCTAATATGTCTCTGTCTACACCTTCATGCCTGAGAAGGTGTCCTACCAACCTATGTCGCCTATTTCTTATTGACTTCTATAGAGTCCTCTGTTCTCCTATTCTTACCTCTTCATTTCTAACCTTTTCTATCCATCTTATCCTCATTATTCGCCTATAACACCACATTTCGAACCTTTTCTTTTCTGCCTTGAACTATATATAGGATTTTATCTATTTCTTTCTTGTATTATAAACAACCATGGTTTAAACAATTCCTGACCGGATTAATGGTTGGTAGCCTGCATTTCTCCTTTTAAGGGAATCCCCAGCAGAGAAAAATGAATGCCACCAATTCTTTCTAATACTGTTCGGCCTGTATTGGTTGTGACACACTTTGTATATTTGTTATTTCTTATTATTTATAATACAATAAAGACAGTTTATTATGGATTAAAACTAATAATTAATTAATGTGAGAATTATCTTCATTCATTGTCTTTTTTTATTGTTCTACAGTATAACCTTGTAGGAAGCGAACTTACATATTATTGTAAATATTATCGGCGTTTAAAATCAATATTAACTTTTACAATTTATATTCATTTTTAAATTGTTTGCAAAATTCACTCTCATACTTTACTAACATCCATGAAGGTTAATTGAAGGTCTTCTATAAACACACTCGCATAACATGAATCAATAGGGGGTAAAAAAAGACTTTATTATTAATCTCGAGTTTTTTCTTTAATGCTCAAATAAGTAAAGTAAGTCTAAAGTCTATTCCGTTAAAACAAACATAGGTGGGATTTATTGTATAAATTTATGTTAATATTTATCAAATAAAAATGAATATGGACCTTCATTCTTTCAGTAAACAATTCATTAATCCCATGTGACAAACACCCCTTCATAAATACTTAATCCAGAGGAAGGGAAATTAGTTTTTCCGTTTCAATTTACGGGAATCGTTATATCATGGATATTCCGATGGAGTTTACTAAGTGTATATGTGCCTAACAAAGTGTAATACATTTATTTCTGTAAACTATTAACATGACTATTAAAAAAAGAGAAAGGTAATACACGATCTAATATAGTCATTAGAGACTTGCTGATTACTGCGGTAAGTCGTACCTATTATTGTTACGTATGAGGTATGATGAGATAATACAGTTAAAACAACCACGAACACTAATAGCAACCTTGTAACTTTAGTTATCTTCCCATTAATATAGTACGTAAAATAAATAATTGTGAATGCTTCACACGTATTGTAAAAACCCAAAATAGTAGGGATCTATTTTGAGTTTTCTTGTTTAATAAGGAAGAATTAAAGGGTTTGCAGCTTTCTAAATCCCAACAGTACTTCTTAATCAATTCTCGCAAGACACATAGTAACTCAAGCTGGTCTTAGTTAACAGATAAATTAATAAAAAGCTACAGATAGCATAGCAACCCCTTTCTCCAAACATTCATTACGCAAACATGGGTAAAATCTGCTTCTGGTATCACTAGGCTAGTTTTTTTAAAGTTAAAAAGTGTAGTGATGGATTCTGGTTAAGTAGTACATGCTCAAAGATCAATAACCATTAACAAAAATTACTAAAACTTTGTATAGATAAAAGATAATTTTAACCCCAGTATTCATTTGAATACCAACCAGAGGAAGAAAGATCAATAGAATTAAATTTTCAACTTTGTTATAAATAAANTAATTATTACACGAGCTTTTTTTATTTGTTTTTTTTTCTAAATTACTTAAGCAAACAACAACAAACACAAAAAATGGATGTTCATGCAAATCATACTATTTAAAAACTATTTCCAATTATCTTACTTACATAATCTCTAGATTATAGCAGCTCTGATTAAATACCTTCGATGATTCTTACATAAATGCAAATGATGTTAATATAAAAAGCATACAAAGGTAATGCAAATAAACAAAAGAGTATGTTGCTGTTAAATAAAAGTAATTATTATGTCTTTTCAATAACGAAAAGCTAATTTGGTTTACTGATTAACAAGAAAAACTTTAGCTTTCATCCAAAAAACAAAAACATGTGACACAAAATGAACTTCAGACATTAAACGACATCTTTGACATTAATAAATACGTGTTTACACATCATTAATGTACTCACAACTTAGGTTTATTACACATTCGGCCAGCGCATGGTTTGAATTACTTTGTACTATTAGGAGACAATGATATTTGATATGCATCCAACTAATGTTGTTTAACATCAAGTAAATGGCAATATATCGCCATCTATACGTGCCCAAGTAAAGTACCTATTTGAAATGAGAGGTTGGCTTTTGGGCGAAGTATTGGCCTACTGCAGACCAGCAGTCAAGAATTTTTGACGTGACAACGTCTTATAATTCGATGGAGCCGGCTGCACGCACGAAAAAACATGACTCATGCGGCGTTACCTCGCTCTGAGGCGTTCCATTTAAGGCTTGAAGTGCAAGCGAGAGCGCGGAACGAGCGACAAAGAGGCACAATCGGCCTCCGCGTTCGGCAGCGTTCGACATCTGTCTCTCTCCTACTTGAGTGAGCGATGCGTCCGCGTGGACAGCTGCTATACAATAATACATTTCCATTTACCTCCTTCTCTATATCCATACAAAATATCTATCAAACAAATAAAATTAAAATTTTCTTTTGAAAAATGAAACCATTCCATCAGTATTTTCTTATGACGTTGTCACGTTCAACTATCGTCAGTAAACCGACTTTACAGACAACCGATTTTTTTGTAACGAGAGGGGCCTTTTCCGGGAGGATCTATCACAACAGGGCCATAAATGTTCTTATTAAATAATGTCATGTTGAAAAACATTTCTAATCAAAAATTTATCTACTACCGCTCATAGTAAGCCCTTTTTGTGCCACTTTCAAACGTTGGCATGACTGAGCATCTACCAAATTTCATAAAAGAAGAATACCATTCGGTTTATTTCACACCTCTTATTATGTTCACCGAGTGTTTCTATATTCTACTCGGTCATCAGACACAAGAGCGGATTTTTAAGTATCTGATCGTCAGTGCACTACAATAGGAAATCGAACCTTTCAATGCATTTTGAGTGGCATCCAATTGAAAAAGGAAAAAAGTAGCTCAATAGGAGATTTCCGAATCGATTGAAATGTTAAAAAGTTAAGGAAGTACTTCAAGAAAGCCTTGCTTAATCACAATGAGAAGACGTTACATAACCATTAAAAAAACTTGATTTAGAAAATATTTATTGTTGCAAGTCTTTCAATGTCTTCTTCTTGTTGTTCCTAACACCAAATGGAAAAAAATGATGTACATTTGATAGGTACCTAAAAGACGACCTCATGATGATGATACTAAAATTCTTAAATTGAAATTATTGTTAACTACCACTATTATTGTGAAAGAAAACTTCTAGTGATGACAACTTCAAAACGTTTATGCTTTTTTTTTTTAATATATAGTTTTGGGGTCCCAGTTTAATCTAGGATAGCTACACCACTGACGTTTATATCGCTGTTAGAACATTTCTCATCATTATTAGTGTAGGTACATTACATCATACAATATTAATGCTGTTCGTTATTGTCTTTGGACAGTACAACATGCTGCCGCTGTATGATGTTAAGTGTCACTCTTATTCAAAGCTCTAAATAGCTCGTTTTAGTACTAATGGACATGTTTAAGCATGATATGCAAAGAGATAATTCTACGGTAAGCCACATGACAGTTTGGAAACGACCCTCTGCTCAGTAAAAGAGGTCATAAAACGTCGGCGGACAAATAAAATTGGCTTTCCATGCGCCACTTTGATAACATTTTCATGGGGTCATCAAACAGACATTGCAAAAATGCAGTTCCAAGTGTTGTTTTTGTACTTTGTGGCAAAATGGTGTTCTTTTGCGATTCATAAATCCTAACTAATATTATTTATAATTGGAAATGTGAATTTGTTTGTTTGCTACGATTTCACGCTTTAACCTCTCAACCGATCATCATGAAATTTTCTGCGCACATTATCAGGTGTACAGCAAAAGACATAGGGTACCTTTTGTTAGATTCATGTGATCGTCGATGATCCTTGACAAGTATTTAGGACATCAACGCGAGATAAGCCATGGGTAAAACCTATAGGGTACCGTTTATCCAGAAGAAATGCTGTTCTCGAGGGTTAGGACGATTGATAATCTTTGACATGTATTTAGGAACAACGCGGGGGAATCCGGGGGTAAAACCTACAGTTACGCAATTAAGAACATTGTATCGCCATCTACTTGGTATTTACCTCTACTAAAGCATTTTAACTGGTGATTTATTAAAACTACTTACGGTCTATTAGAAAATGGGACTAAATCGCAATCTAGATCTGGTAGTATGTCTGACCATAAGGTTGACGTTACCTTTACAATCCTTTTTATGTAGAACTTAATGGGAAATACATATAATTAGATAATAGCAATTGCCTGTCCTTCTGCCAATTAGTTTGTTTGTTTTCTATCTGAAGCATCGTAGTCTCAGAACGAATGTACAACCCGACTTTGATGAAGTTTGCTTTGCTTAAAGTTATATATAATTATTGAGAAAATTGCTTAGAAATATTTAATTGGAATTGGTTAGACCGTCTTTTACATTCAATCACAGTTTCGAAGAGACATTTCAGCCACTGTAATTACGTCTCGTTTACCTTCCATGATTAAAATCGTTTCTATAGTAGGTAAATGTTCTGCTACCCAGTTACATTAACCATCATGGTCCAATTTTCCACCCCACGTCTTTGTAATTAACATCAATTTATGAACTTTATAGCAAATATGCAGTTGTCCTGCTGTACTTTGCAGCTAAGTAATTAAGTAATTTCGAGTAGGTAAGCTTAAAGGTCACGTTGACAAGTTTTCAGCTTCCTGAGAAAAGTCTGAGGGGTAAATCTTGTTAAGATTTTCACGAGTGGGAAATAGGCGACGCCGCACGTCATCAGGCACGCTTTTAAAGCTTTTACTATAACTAGAGCGTTGTAGTTCTCGTTTTGTTTATTGATTTGGTACCGGGTTACGTTCCTAAAGGACAATTTGGCACTAGTCGAGATAGATTTACTGAAAATTCGTTCAAACGTCTGCTACGTGACATTCCTTGCAAGAATCCTTCATGACACCAAAAGGCACTGCTGAACTAAGCAGAAAAGCGCTTTTGTTTATTTTAGTTGACACCTAATATCAAAGCATAAAGAATGGTGAACGTTAAGGCTGAATAAAGAAAGAAAATGTATACAACGTAGAGAAGTTAATATTTGGAAGGGAGTCAGACAGGGATGTACACTGTCACCGCTAGTTTTTAATCTATACATCGAAGACGCAATCAGCATCATTAAAGACAGTACGACTGTATGGGGTAGACATACAGAGGCAAAAGATTAATAAGCTTAGATTTGCAGATGATACAGCAGTATTAGCATCTAGCAAGGAGGAGTTAGAGATAGCTTTAAATAAAATGGGGACGGCATTGACAAAACAGTATTGTATGAAAATAAATAAAAGTTAAACAAAAATACTGATATGCAAGAGAAGAACAAGTAGGGAAAGAGCGAATACAAAAATAGGAGACGAAAAATTAGAAGAAGAAGTCAGGACGGAAGGAGAAGTAGGGATATAATGCATAAGATATCGCAGGGTCGTCTCCTTCAATAAAAAATAATAAATAAAAAGAAGTCACTTCTATGCTCTGGAACGGTTAATTTAGAAATTTGAAAAAGATTGTTAAAGGTGTAAATTTGAAGCGAAGCGCTGTACGGGTGCGAAACATGGACGGTAGGCACTGGGCAAAAGAAAAGGTTAGAAGCGTTCGAAATGTGGTGTTTCAGGCAAATGATGAGGATACCGTGGATAGAGAAGGTTGGAAATGAAGAGATATTAGAAAGAATAGGAGAACAAAGGACTTTATGGAAGTCGATAAGAAATAGGCGAGATAGGTTAATAGAACCCCTTCTCAGGCATGAAGATTTAGTCAGAGATATATTAGATGCAGAAACGGTAGTTAAGAGGGATAGAGGTAGACCAAGATTAGATTACTGTTCGCAAACAGTTTAGGATGTGGGTTGTTCTAGTTTTAGGGAAATTCAAAGTTTAACTCAGGATAAAAAAGAGTGGAGGTACGTGTCCAACCAGTCTTAGAACTGACGACCTTATAATGATGATGATACAAGATGTCCAGAAAAATGGTGATTCCTGTATGATTTGTTCGTTTTTTTATATTTGATTAAATTCGTCACAGTATACAGTCATCTACTAAACAATTTCGGTTTGGCATGCCGTGCTAATAAGAACCAATAAATTCGAAATGTGAATATTCTTAATTTTTAATCTTTTATCCAAAAGGATAAATGTAGTATATATTTGCTTTAATGTTCGGTTTAAAAAAATAATCGAGTTAAATTTCATTACAGAAAAGGAAAAAACATGACGGCTGCTTCAGAGCAACAGGCCAATAAGCGGCTAAATTTAGAAAAGGCTGCAAACTTTATGAGACAGTATCGTGATCCAGACTCAAAGGAGTTGAAAAAACTTTCAGCTAATCAGTTCATGGAGGTGTGGAGCCACTACGACAAAGACGGTATGTTCTCTTTCAACTAATCATAAGATTAGCTAAATAACTGCGAAAATTCAAATAAAATGTGAAAATATACAAATGAATGTTTACCTTACGGTAGCGTTCGGTGTACATATATAACGTTCTTTATTATTTTTAGAAAACACACAAACAAATGAAGTTTAACTTATATCTACACGTAGATAAACCAAAAGCTTCTTGATGTTCATTAGAACAAATAGACGACAGATTAATTGTACTTCAAACATGCAAATTTACCATGATTTTAAAAATAGATTGATTAGATTATCGGTTCATTACACGTCAAGGCTACTAACTGTAGTAAAACTTTGCCTTCTGCTTATTAACTAAAACATTCATTTAAAATACCTGAATATTATTGTAAATCGCTTAGGTATTCCAGATAGAAAAAGGAAATGTTCATTTAGAAAGTAAAATTTCCGTAAGATATCAATGGTCAGAGTTGGGAATCATATCTCGCAAAAACAATAAGGTTTCAAACCCATAGCAAATAGCCCATTGATTCGGAGTTTCATAAAACCATTTCACATCTGTAAACTCCAAAACAGTGGAAACGTCGGAAAAATCCCAGAAAGCATTTAAACAATACAGGAAAACGCGGAACTGTACATTTCAGATAACAAGCAAGCAGTAGTTGGAAAGTTGTTTCAAAACCCTCAATATGGATGAAAATTTAGAACTTAGTTTGTACTCATTTTCACTGCGAAAGTTTAAATAAAGCAATGCTATCCATAATATATCTAAATTTTATGTTACAAAGGATAAAAATGAGTAAAATTTATTGCTATTCTCATTTAATAATTAACGTAAAAATATTCAGTTTCCATTTTCTTTCTATAGTTTCATTCTACTATGGGTTCCGGCCGTGAAAGCCTTTCTTCTTGTATCATTTTCTTTCTGTTTTATTTTAGGGAATGGTTATATTGAAGGGTCAGAATTAGATGGATTCCTGCGAGAATTTGTTTCCAGTGCTAATTCCACGGAGATAGATCCCGAGGTGAGATCTAATTTGCATTTGCATGTTTATGTTATTGATTTAAATCCAAATGGTAGTATATTCAGTTAATGGCTGTTACACAAGCCAATATCTATTTCTGCATATTTAGATAACAATCAATTACACGATTTGTACTGATGGTGGACTAGTGCAATAAAACTTTACTTTCAATTAGGGCATATTCGCCGTTAATCGTTACAGTCGACAGATCTGTTTGTGTATATTTAACGATTTTATGTACATGGTTTCATTGCAATCCAACAATAAATTTTGTGTTCGAATTTTCACCTGCTTTGTATTAACTAGTGGTTGACATCAAATTTTATAAGTTTATATGGTTCTGATGATCATATAAAACAGACACGAAAAAGTATTACAAGTTTTAGATAAAGCGATTTTTAAGGCAAGGAAAAATATCCGATTAATGTATTAAAAATCGATTGATTAATTGTAACCCGTTTCTAACAACGATCGATTAATCGAAGTAATCGATTATTTCAATTAGTCACAATAATCGGATTTGTTATAGACTTATAATCAATTATGTATACAAATTTTTACGGTAAATGTCTAGATGATGGCCCCCACCCCCTTCGGTGGATGGGGTCGAAAGAGGAGGTCGTCCCCACCACTGTACCATAAAAAATTCGTGGCGGTCTCACCCCCATAGGCATGTAAATATTTATATAGTCATTCTTAAACAATATTCAAAGATAAAACTAATGAAAAATACATAAAAATATTGAGAAAGTTATATAAAACATTATTTAAATATCTTTATCAATAAGGTAGGTTAGGTTAGGTTAGGTTATCGGGTTTTGTTCAAGTGACCACCCTCTTTCGATCCCCCACCTCCACCCGCTTGAAAATATTTTTTTAATTGAATTTTATTTGAATTATAGTGTATGAAAATTGTCAAAATAATCAACTTTCAACCCCCATAACTTTTTATGGGTGTAAGACCGCCACCAACTTTTTATGGTACAGTGGTGGGGGAGATCTCCTTTTTCGATCCCACCCACCCCCACCCCCTTTGGGGACATTTACCATATTTACTTCTAAAAGCTATAGTATTTTATAACAATTAGTAGAAGCATTTCATCGTCTATTTAGATTAGCAAGTACGAAAGTAGACACCTATGTAATATAAATAAATAGTCAAGAACAGATTGTGTAGTAGTTACTACAAATTTCTCTTAATAATAGTCTCCTAATTAGAATATTTATGAACTTCCGATTTCAATTTGGCATACTTGAAATTCTCATTGCATTTTGCACGTATTTGGCGCTAGATTGTCTTCACTGCGGATGTGAGATAATTTGAGAAGCTGAAGTTCATTAAGAGCCAGTAGTTACGACTTCGTGTCTGTTGTTTTGGCAGAGACAGCGCATGAAAATTGTTTGTATTCGTGCGGTAAACCTCTAGTAAATCGGTTAAATTCAAGCAATTATTTTTACGTAATATTTTGTGGTTTATTTGACGAGGTTGGTATGGAGTTTCACGTAAGAGTTGCTTTCGTGCTAGAAAAACGTTTGTAATTAGTTACATGATTAACCTGTAACATTTGTTGTATGTTTGGTTGCCTATACCATAGAACTAGAAATTGTTTAATTTATTGTAAAAAAGTAATTATTATCCCCAATTGCATTTATAGGGTCAAACTACAATTAGAAGATGGGATTTCATTAGTTTACTGCAACGAAACCGGAATTACAGGTCAATTACAGCTTTTGTTTTAAATTGTCCCGGCGCCTCCACCAAAAGTTTCAATTAACTTTTTAATAATTTTTCATTGTGTTTACTTACCTACATAAACGGCTCACTTTTTGGAATTAAAACGTTAGATTAGAATAAAAATGTACTAAATTACTAACTAAATACTTTTTAACAGCATCATATATGATATGCACTTTTCTTATACGAAATGATTATTATATTATTGGAATAAGTAAGTGAAACATACTACTAGTGTGACTTCAGATGAAGCACGCTTTCCGACTATAATAAAAATATAACCTGCGGAATTCAACGAAAAGGAAATTGAGACATAAATAGTTCCCTGATGATTACATACGTACAATTCAATATAAATGGGTTTTCTGGCACTTACCATTGAAAGCAAGGAAGCTTCTTTGAAAGTTTTCCAATAATGTAGAATGGAACACGTCTTCTTCCAAATGATTCACATGTGCAACGCTGTAATATAAAAGTTTTCGTTAGTTCATTTGATTAATAAAAAGAGCTGTAATATAACATTGAAAATAGTTATAGATAGCTCCTAGGGTATTTTTTGAAGTAGCAGAAGCCATTTAATATCACTTATTAAATCATTAAAACCCATTATCTTGAAACACGTATACGTAAATATGAGCATTAAGCATAAAGAAAATGATGATTTAGCTTTAGAAAATGGAAGCACACAATACGTAGAGTAATTAAACTTTTGTCAATTCACTTTGATTCGATGTTTAAGTCCTCTACACAAAATCAACCTTATTGGATGACATTCTCAAAGGCATTATGCAAACGTCAATTAACAGCTATTGGAAGGACTCCAAACCCACACGGATTAAAGTTCCCACTAACTTTAGATTACTCGGAAATTGGAAGCTCGAGGATTAACAAAATCAACATACAAACAACACCGTGATTCAAAGTTATACGTATAATGCTTTACGAAATGTAGTTCTTATTTTATTATTTTCTTGGTCCCTATCAGAGTTAAGAACGAACATGTTGTTTATGTAAATTTTAAAATACAAGACAAATTACTGCTCAAATTTAATCCGCCAAGATACTTTTCATGCGCCCCTCAACGTGACACTTAAGATGGATGATGGTTGTGGTTGCTCTTTTCGTATATGTAATAAGACGATGACCTAATTCTAAGACGTCCTTGTAGAAGATATATGAGGATAATGGCGTTTGTGAAATACTTAGTCCCTTATTAGTTATCATAAAATGTGGACTGTCCAAATTTGCCAACAAATTCTTTTAAATATAGTAGATCTATTGGCGAGCAATTTTATTAGGTAAACAGTTTTGGTCCTTTGGGTTTTTTTTTTGTAAGGCAGAACTTGCAATATTCCATATTACATAACCGAAATTATTTTTGAAAATCACCTTTACACAGAAAACATAAAGCGACGCAAGGCACTAGTTTAAAGCACTCCCAAAGGATCTTTCAGCAGAGAAGGAACAAATAAAAGGACTTGCTAGATTCCGTGAAACAACAGGACGATGTTGAAATTTCGTTATAAACTCGAATGAAAACCAACTCCCTTATGAGAAACATCTTCCAGTTTCCCGGAGCGACTATTACTGAAACAGTTTACTGTCACAACTAGGACATTTTCGTCAACATCCTCTCGCTTATTGCCTTTCTGTCCTTTGTTCGTGTTAATATAAGTTCCTGTTGGGTAATAGAATTCAATAACATTTATACTTATCGCGTCTTCTATCTTCAGAACCAATACATTTCCTTCCGATTTCTCTCAAGTTCCTTAGCTTTTATTTTCTTAGAAACTAAAATACTGCAAGGATAAAAATACGCAATGTCCTGACCAGTGCGAGCCAAACCAAAAAAGAAAAAGTAAAACACGCGATACCATTTACGTAAGAATTAAGTTCATTACTTGCAGCCGTCTTAGCGTTTGAATGGAAGACCCTCTAAATAACGAGAAAGGATCTTTCTTCAAGGGGGTTTTAAATTACATGTGACACGCAAAAGGATAAAAAGCAAATGGGGCATCATTTCCGTTTTCAGGGCACTTGGGTTTTGGCTATCTGCCGCTTTCTCTCAATTTTCCATGTAGTTGATGCAAAAAATGCGTAGAAAAGTCAAATAAACTTAATAAGAACTCGTCATTAAGATACTATCTTCTTTAGATATATCTTTCAGCACTGACTATCTTGTTTATATTAGTAACAAATATTCATAGGTGTTATTTTCATCAATAAATATACTAATGATCATGACTTGTCAAAAGAATTGAACAAATCAAACGACTTAAAAATCCTTTTAACCATAAAAACCGAGGAGAAGGATTTTCAGAAATAAAACTCCTAATAAAACCTGATCTGTTATAAATATATAACACGGAAGTTCCCCTAGTAATATTTCAAAGTAGAACATGTTAAAGAAGTTTCATTTTTTATCAGTTACTACGTGTATTATCTATCACTTGAGAGACTGAAATTTAACACAATTTTATTTCTTGCTATTAGTAATGCTATTGTTTACAGGCTGTATCTGATGATATGCTTCGGGAGCTGAAGGCTTGTTTTATGGAAGCATACGACGATAATCAGGATGGAAAGATTGACATTCGGGAGGTAGGGAAGACGCACCTAATTAAATTTCATTGCTTTTTTAACGTTAAGGTAAATTTATTCTAGTTGGCCCAGTTGTTACCAATGGAAGAAAACTTTTTGTTATTGTTTCGATTTGATAATCCACTGGAGTCCAGCGTTGAATTCATGAAGGTAATCTTTGTTCGATAATTTGCTTTATATAAGTCAAAATGTGTCAAATAAATAATAAACAGAAAACTAAAATGTTTACCCTCATGTACTACAGGTACAGGTACAATTATTATTTCGTTTAGTACAGTTAAAAAGTAATCTTTAATAGCGAGTAATTCAGTTCATAGTTAAGGAAGACTAATTATAGATAGAAGTGAAATTATACGATTTTAAGGTAAATAGCACTGAAACTAATTACATAAGTCAGATCATATCAAAGAAAGCGTTGTAGTGTAGAGAACGCTTAAGTGCATACATATATTCACCGGAGGACATCAATAACAGGACGAGAGTCTCGCTCGTAAAGGAAACTCCAAAAGGGAGACCAATTAGTATTATCCTTTGAATTTTGTACCGTAAAGTTGGGAATATCTTTGAGTACCTGACAGATACCTAGTCTTTTTAATCACAAAGATGCATGCGTGGTAGTGGAGCAGGATTATTATTTATTACATGATCTAAACTTGTCTGTAGGCGTTCGAAGAAAGAAAAATCGCGATTTAATGAAATACAAAAACCTAAAATTAATATAAACAGTTTGCTTACATTAAAGAAAATACTAAAACCCGAAACCAACGCATTTTGTTGAAACAATAGGCCGTAGATCGCCGTATCGATTATTGGCAGTACGAATTATTCATTTGAATTTGAAAATAGCTCAATTACATTTATGTTGTAATATATTCCACCGATAAAAAACAAAAGAATTTCCAATATACAAACGCAAGTGTTTTTCTTAGTTTTTATTGTCAGTTTTCATTTGTACCTACAGACATCAGCGTATAATATGATAACATTACTTTACTTTCACATAATTGCCATTTTCAGATATGGAGAGAGTATGATACCGACGGAAGTGGATATATTGAAGCGGATGAATTAAAGGTAAAAGTTCACAGAATGTATAGTTAGATTTTTGAATCTCGCACAGAAATGGCAACAAGTTTTCTATTTTCAGAATTTTCTCAGGGACTTGTTGAAGGAAGCCAAACGAATTAACGACGTATCAGAAGACAAACTCATAGAATACACAGACACTATGGTAAGTACGTGTTCAGATGTCTAGATGGAAGTATTAATGAGAAAATTAATTTTCAATTTTTTATCCACTATAAACTACCTCAATAAGGGAAAATTTATTGCTGTTGTCGCACCCTTAATACTGGTATGCAAGGGAAGAAAAAGTAGGGAAAGAGAGAATATAAAGATAGGAGACGAAAAGTTAGAAGAAGTGGCTGATTTTAGATATCAGAGAAGTCAGATAAGTCAGGATGGAAGGAGTAGTAGGGATATAAAGCAGAGGATAGCGCAGGGTCGTGTCGCCTTTAATAAAAAGAAGTCACTTCTGTGCTCGCGAACGATTAATTTAGAAATTCGAAAAAGGTTGTTAAAGGTGTATGTTTGGAGCACGGCGTTGTACGGGTACGAAACATAGATGCTGGGCGCGGCGGAAAAGAAAAGGTTAGAAGCGTTCGAAAAGTGGTGTTATAGGCGGATGATGAGGATATCGTGGGTAGAAAAGGTTAGAAATGGAGAGGTATTAGAAAGAATAGGACTCTATGGAAGTCAATAAAAAATAGGCGAGATAGGTTGGTAGGACACCTTCTCAGACATGAAGGTCTAGTCAGAGATATATTAGAGGCAGAAACAGGAGTTAGGAAGGGTAGATGTAGACCTAGATTAGAGTACTGTTCGCAAATAGTTAAGGATGTGGGTTGTTCTAGTTTTAGGGAAATGCGAAGTTTAGCTCAGGATAGGAAAGAGTGGAGGTACGTGTCCAACCAGTCTTAGGACTGACGACCTTATGATGATGATGATGAAGATACATAGTATCCTGAAAACGTCAATACTTACCGGGAATCGAACCCGGAACCTGAGGTGGTTTATAGTGGGTAAAAAATTGAAAATGAATTTTAACATTAATATTAGATATTAACCACTATTAAAATATCAAAGTATTTCATACAGATGGTAATGCATACACCTGCTTCACACTTTATTTATCAAATTATTCTTCACACATTAATATTTAGATATCTATATCTAAACTTGTAATGAGTGGATGCTAATTAGACTTAACTTTATCTATATTACATATCGAACAAAATTCAACATTCAAAATCATCAACATTAACATTCAAAATTTTCTGAATAATGCATAAAACAGTTAACATTCCCTGACTTTAACTGATGTGAATGGAATCAGTTTAAAAACAGGTGGTAATAGTTTTCGAATATCGCATTCAATTTTCTTAAAGTTTAAGGTATGAAAAGGGCCTACTAAAACTTAAATTATTGTAGTATTTGCTTCACAAAGACGATTTACGAGACAACACTACAAATAAAACAGTAAAATCAGCCCATTGCAAAATGCTAACTTAATCTAGAAAGAAACTAAGTTTAAATATAAGATTCACATTTTTTAACCCATATAACATTAATTCACAAAGAAGTATATTAAATTTCAAATATTACGGTAGATTTTTTAATCTTTGAAATTTAAACGCTTCGATAAATTACAGACTAAACACTTAATTTTCTTTATTACGGTATCAAGACAGTTTAATAGGCACTGATAACGATAACTTCCATCTGTTTTCGGGTCTACTCTTGAAAGATACTCGATTACAACCCTAAACGTTAGCAAAAATGGTTAATACACCTTTGGCATCCATGTAATAAAATGGTTATTCATTATGATTCATCTTAAAACCTTTCAAAGGTCCATACATTGCAAATTTTTGGTATATAATACTTACCCATGTAGAAAGCATGAAAATCCTTCTATTATAGCATTAACAATATTCAGAAGAATAGTTTTAATAGCTAATAAACTGTAATATAAACGTATATATTAACATCGGCAAAATAATTTTGTTTTAATACAAAACAACATCCCGATAAAGCACACGGCTGTATACTGAAGTTCGTAGATCATCGTCACCTCCCCGAACTCATTTCTTATCGTAAACTGTAAAAAGCTTCTTCGTCACTTTCTTACAATATTATTTATTTGAACGATGTTTTATACGAACAAAAGATAGACGTAACAACCTTGAAAATATATTCCGACGTTGTGAATGACAAAAAACAATTCAGTTATTGTAAAACTTACAAAGAAAACATTATTCTAATTAGTAATTTGTAAAAGTTTAATTAATAAAAAACTAATAGCTCACTAACAAAAATTTAATGTTCAATGTATGTATTACATTAATGTATCAGTTTTTGTTACAACAAGGAACAATCGGCTTTTTAATTATACAAGTCATATTCGAAAAGTTATAGCAGGATTAGCATCTAGCAAGGAGGACTTAGATATAACTTTAAATAAAATGGAAGCGGTACTGACAGATCAGTACTGTATGAAAATAAATAAAAGTAAAACTAAAATACTGATATGCAAGGGAAGAAAAAGTAGGGAAAGAGCGAATATAAAGATAGGAGACGAAAAATTAGAAGAAGTGGCTGATTTTAGATACCTAGGAAGTCAGATAAGTGAGGATGGAAGGAGTAGTAGGGATATAAAGCAGAGGATAGCGCAGGGTCGTGTCGCCTTTAATAAAAAGAAGTCACTTCTATGCTCGCGAACGGTTAATTTAGAAATTCGAAAAAGGTTGTTAAAGGTGTATGTTTGGAGCACGGCGTTGTACGGGTGCGAAACATGGACAGTGGGAGCGGCGGAAAAGAAAAGGTTAGAAGCGTTCGAAATGTGGTGTTATAGGCGGATGATGAGGATATCGTGGGTTGAAAAGGTTAGAAATGAAGAGGTATTGGAAAGAATAGGAGAACAGAGGACTTCATGGAAGTTAATAAGAAATAGGTGAGATAGGTTAGTAGGACACCTTCTCAGACATGAAGGTCTAGTCAGAGACATATTAGAGGCAGAAACGGAAGTTAGGAGGGGTAAAGGTAGACTTAGATTAGATTACTGTTCGCAAATAGTTAAGGTTGTCGGTTGTTCTAGTTTTAGGTATGAATGCGAAGATTAGTTCAGGATAGGAAAGAGTGGAGGTGCGTGTCCAACCAGTCTTAGAACTGACGACCTTATGATGATGATGATGATGATGATGATTCGAAAAGTATTTAGCCAATCACTAAGCTACGAAAACAATTTCAATGGCAACAATTTACAAGTGGTTTGTCCGATTCAGAAATGGCCAAACGTCAATTAAAGGTTATCACTATTAGATGTTCCTCAACATTCAGAACAGGCAAAAATTTAAGAAGTTTTTGATTATTTAAAAAAAAAACTAGCTGATAAAACAGCTCCTCCACCCAAAGAGGTAAAGACTTATCAGACCTAGTTCTTTGCTACCTCTTCTTATTTCGTAGAATGAAGAAAAGCCTTAAGGGAATACGATTTCGGGATAAAAAAGAGGTCAAGATAAAATGCTGAGCTAACCTTCGCATTTCCCCGAAACTAGAACAGCCCACATCCTTAACTATTTGCGAACAGTAATCTAATCTAGATCTACCTCTACTCCTCTTAACTCCTGTTTCTGCCTCTACTTCTCTGTGACTAGACCTTCATGCCTGCGAAGGTGTCCTACCAACCTATCTCGTCTATTTCTGATTGACTTCCATAGAGTCCTCTGTTCTTCTATTCTTTCTAATATCTCTTCATTTCTAATCTCTATCCACGATATTCTCATCATTCGCCTGTAACATCACTATGTATCTTAACAGTAATTTTTTGGGCACCCCTAATAGTTGTTACAACTATTTTTCTTTGAATTTCCCTCATATGTACTTTCCAAGTATCTAAAACTGAAATATGCTTAACCGCCTAATTTTATGTGAAAATGGTGTTGAAATATTTAACTTTTCACTTCCACATCTTGACTTCCACTCTGTGTATCTACTGTCTAATATTAAAAGAAGCAATTGGCAATTTGTGTGCAAATGTTGCTTTAAATATCACTCTTGGGACCGTGCTATCTGTTCATGGATAACTTTATATTCAAAGTGCGCACGAAACATTTGTAAACGCGCCCGAGAGAGCATTTGCCCTAACGACCACAATCGACATTTATATATTATGTCTTAACGCTGATTTTTATACATTATATCCATCTGCTGGCCCTATTTCTGTTAGTATTGATTTTCAACCGAAATAAGCAATATTCGGTTTCAGTAAATTCTTAGTGTTGGTTATACGTTTGCAGCATCTACAAAAGGATTAAATTGTCGCATTTTTAACCTTAAGAAACAAACTTATTTATGACACACCCTTTGGGTTGTGTATCAAACTAGCACGACAAAGTTTTGTTTTTCATTTCTAAAATGCGCTGTAATTTGTCGCTAGTTTGTTATCAAAAATTTGTCGCTACGACCGGAAAATGTAAAATAATTCTAGCCCGGAGTCAAATCTCGAGACGATCAGTGAAAAACGATTGAAGATCCATCAAGGTGACACTACACATAGCGAAATACAAATAGCGTAGAAGGATACTGTAAGAGCTAAAGTTTGTCGCTAGTTTGTCGCTGACTCATTTTGTCGCTAATTTGTCGCTGACTCATTTTGTCGCGAGTCCAATCTCGAGATGATCAGTGAAAAAACGATTGAAGATCCATCAAAGTGGCAGTACACATAGCGAAATACGAATTTTTTCTCGCTAGTTTAAAAGGCCTAACTACCAAAAATCTTTTTGGATTAAATATATTGAAGTTTATAGAGTTACTCTAATAGGTCACCTACTACTACCTTCAAACTACTCAAGGGCTTCTGAAAGCACCTGCAATATACTCTTTGTAAATGAATATTTATTTTAGATTACGAAAAACTAATTATATGTATTTTGTTTAATTTTAGCTTCAAGTCTTTGACTCAAACAAAGATGGCAGACTTCAACTCTCCGAAATGGCAAAGTAAGTGAGTCAATGTTGTTCTTTCTCAGTCGCTTCATCCCTAGCTCCCATAACTATGAATAATTAGAATTAGTAGTGAATATCTGCTAATATACTACATCCTTGATATTTAGTAATTTTCTAACTATGACTTGGACAGCAATTTATCAGATCTAGTGCAGTACAGTAGTTAGATAATAACTCATTATTTGGAAGGATTTTGGTTCAATTCAGAATCTGCTTGCACTGCTACAAGTTTTTCTTTGGTTTCCTTGGATCATGTAGACAAATTGTGGAATAGAAATACTCGATGGACAGACACTCTTCTGTTGCCTTTCCCTCGTCTTTTGCACCCTAATCCCCACGACCCTGCCCATCACTTTGTACCACGGCATGAATCGCCGATCCGCTGAAGGGAATAAAATATGATAAATCTGAGCTATTAAGGTGTGACGATGAGACCTAATATGTTCGAAATTGCTGTCCACTCCTAGTGATATCGATAAATTACTAACCCAGAACTTGATGTTTCGAGTTTATCATCTCTTATCTTCTGTTTAAGGTTACTTCCCGTCAAAGAAAACTTCCTTTGTCGACAGGTCTTCAAGGTAAGTGAGGTACTCAACTGTTCTATTTTCTTCTATAATATGTCACAAAAATGTACGGCACACATACGAGGTCTGCTCAAAAAGTATTACGAACATTGAATTTACCAATGATTTGGTTGAGATGAGACGGGTCGCCGCGAAATTCGTATCAAAATTGCTCAATTTCGACCAAAAACAGCATCGCATCAATAGATATTGCTAAGGAGCTATTGGACTTTGTTTGCGACAACCCAAGTTTGCTCCAGAGGGTCATAACTAGTGCTGTTCACGGTTATGAAGTGGAATCCAAAGCTCAATCATCCCAGTGGAAGCTGCTGCACGAGCCAAGACCGAAAAGAGCGCTCCAAGTTCGAATGTGGAGGTTTTTCTTACAGTTTTCTTCGATTGCAGGGGCTTGGTGCATAATAAGTTCTTGCCACAGGGCAGAACGGTCAATGAGGAATATTACCTGTGAGTTATGACCAATTTGCGCGAAGCAATCCGCTAGAAATGCTCAGATTTGTGGAAGAACAAAAATTGGCTTTTGCACCATGATAACACCCCTGCTCACACATCGTTGTTTGTGCGCGAATTTTTGGGCAAAAACAACACACTAATAATGGTGCAGCCACCGTATTTTCCAGATCTGGCACCCTGAAACTTTTTCTTGTTCCCGAAACTTAAGAGGCCCATGAAAGGACGACGCTACGCTACGATTGAAGAGATAAGACGGCATCGAACAAGATCACAAAAAATGATTTTTTGAGGATTGGAAAAAACATTGGAACAAGCGTATAATATCTAGTGGGGATTACTTTGAAGGGGACAAAGTAGATATTCATGAATAAATAAATAATTTTTGAAAAAANCAATAAAGTTCAGTGGCGCTAGCTAAACTTCTGAAACTCTCATAATTAATGTAGATACGACAGAAGAGATATACCATTCCTGATTGATTAATCAGTTTTAGCAATGCTTCAACTTCATCACTGTGTATTAAATCAAAATTCTATTTTATTTTTTAATGCCCATTAATTTTTCTACAAGATACTGCTGAAATTGACGAAGAACACGTTAATATAGCCATGCTTACAATAATTAAGTAATCCAAAGGATTAAACTTATTAAACATCGAATATATTAACTGTTAGATGAGTTTAAGTATCAGCAAAGTTTGTAAATGTTAAGTTTCCAAAGTTTGGCTAGCTCCATGCAACCCATTAAACACTACAAACTAAAAACTCGACCCAAATACTAAACTTGTGCTAAAAATACCATTTCTAATTAATTATTGCACGGCTTTATTTGTTGCTTGAACCTTAGGAAGGATTTGAAGTAAGTACAATTTAAACTTGTTATGATAACTAATTGAGCTGGTCGTGAGTGAATAGTGAAGCACCTGCAGCATTTCTCGATTAGCGTTGTATAATACATCATTTAATATACAAGGTGTTCGCACGTGCTTTAGAGGCCTTTTCTGCAGCCGAACACTCACTGTGCTGTTTTCTTAAATTAAATATGAAAAGAGTGAGTTCATTTTAAAGTAGTCCCAATATGCTTTCGTCCTCGAAAAACAGTCGAGACCATTTTTATAAATATTCTATTAACAATAAACTATTTTGAACTGATGAGCGAGTAACCATTGCGAGCAAGCATTTAAAAATACACATAGTTATACCGATTGCGAAAAAGTGAACCTTTAACTTGGTTAACATCACCCAGTCAGTATGCATGTTGTGCCGCCCTTACTGCTTTCGACGTGGGTGGCGTATTACAGCTCAATGTCAAAATAGATATTTTCGCATACGGTATATCTAATAATAATAATAATCGACAAACGCTCTAGGAACAATCAAAGTGTCTGTAAACACTTTTCACTAAATGAAAATTTATATCTTTTCCTTTCCGTCCATAAGGCGTCAAAGAATTCGAAAGAAACATTTGTCTTAAAGTTTTACAGTGAACTAAATGATAGAAATAAAAATAAAATAGGTAATGATATAATTTGCCTAGGTACATCTACATCTATATTGAGACGTTTTTTTGCTTTCTTTAGGGATGGAAAGCAACATGAGCTTTGTCGCACCGTTTTTCTTTTTGCCTGCTTTCATTCTACTGCATGTCCTTGTTGTAAAGTACAATATTCCTTCAATATCCAAATTGTTATATTTTTCATTTTAATGTTTATGTTCCGTTCATGAATTTTTAACTAATGTTTATTCAATTTTTTTCAGGGAGCAACGAAACTTACCAAAGACGACATCGAAAGGGTTTTTGCCCTTTATGACAGGGTAATTATTAGAAGATTAAAACCTGGTAAATACCTACACTTTTCTAATAAAAACACATATTTATGTCACCTAAATCTGAAATTATCTTTATAAAGTATACGAAACAGTAGGTATCATGTACCAGAAAGCTCACTGTTGTTAAGGGACTAATTTATATTAATCGTCAACGTTCATTATCACAGTACATTAGTAGCTCCGAATATTTTTAGGAGGGTGGAAGAAACGCTTTCCAATACAAATTCGTTGTCTAACAAAACAAAAGTATTGCTTATTAATAATGTATAGCGAGACAATTATTCTCCAACGAAAATCAATACTTACGTTATTTCAATCCTAGTTTAAGTCTGAAATTGATCATAAATATATAATTATAGTTTTTCTTTGTTACATCGAGAAGAGATTTTTGTCAATCAATTATATAAATAATAAAATAATTCGAAGTGGTCTGTATTCTGTCGAAACTGCCAGACGCGGATCGCGATTTCGATCTTTTTGGATCTCATCAGCGCGTCGC